TATTGTTTATCACAATAAATGAAAGCAAACAATCGAAATGAAACAAGAGCTTAAGATACAATTTATGTTATAAAGGTATGGAGGACATAATACATACAAGTTAGTCAACTAAAACGAAATAAAACAACAAAAATAAAACAAACACATGACCATGCAAACTATTGAAGATGTTTTAATCATGTCAGTTAACAATATTGTCTAATATCTTTAGCATATAATTTGATATCAAAGTGATGGTTTAGATATTACATATGCATCATACCAAGTGTCGCTCAAATTAATTTCATTGTTGCCAGGATTCCAATCTCACAGATAAAGGGGCTATAAATTATTTTTTTCGGAATACAACTCTGAAGCAAGACGTGATTAAAACTTGATTATTAAAAACTTGGGGCTCTAAAGAGCATGTGTCGCTCACCTGCATCTTCAACAATAGCCTTTTGCTTTGTAAAAATCATCCTGAAAGGGTAATAACTATATAAATAGTAAACTGACAATCTCAGTAATGTTGACATATTTGTGGATCTTGTCTTGATTATAATTTTTGATATAAAGTTTCTATTTATCTATTACAGTTTTCAAATATATAGGCTATAATGAAAAAAGTAGGGAAAAATCTCTAATTAAAGTGCAATAACATCAATGACGAGTCAACTAATGATTTAGGTCATTTGACTTGCTGATAATTTTTGATAAAAAGTTTCTATTTATCTATTACAGTTTTCAAAATAATAGGGTGAAATGCAAAAAGTAGGGAAAAATCACCATTAAAGGGCAATAACATCAATAAGGAGTCAACTAATTTAGGTCATTTTACTTATTTGTAGATCTTGACTTGTTGATCATTTTGGCTTTCAAAGTTTCTTTCTATCTATTATAGTTTTGAAGATATAAGACAAAAATGCAAAAGATTGGTAAAAATCGTCATTAAAGAGCAATAACTCCAATAAGGAGTTGTCTGATGATTTAAACCATGTGACTTATTTGTAGATCTTGTCTTGCTGATCATTATTACAAATAAAAAATTATAGTTTTCAAAAAAATCATGATAAAAGACAAAAGTTCAAAAAATGATAAAAAATTGACATTTAAGCGGTATAACTCCTATTAAAAGTCGTCGGACAGTTTAGACGTACATAGACAGCTGGTAGATTTCAACATTCTGAACAATTCTGCCCCTGTCAGATTGTCTCTATTCATAGCGGTTTCCAAGATAATAGACAAAACTTGCATTTTACCCGTATGTTCTATTTTTAACCATGCCGTTTATTTTGGTTGACAGGCGGGGTCATCAGACACACTTTTTTTTAACAAGATACCCCAATAATGATTGCGGTTAAGTATGGTTAAATTTGGCACAGTAGTTTCAGGGGAGAATTTTTTTTTTAATTTCACGGACGAGTACGACGACGGACAACGACGGAGGACGAACGACGGACGCCAAGTGATGAGAAAGGCTCACCTGGCCTTTCGGCCAGCTGAGCTAAAAATGACTATTTTGCTTTTTCCTTACAACTTGTTTCAAACAACAGGCCGTGTAGGTTTAGGTGAGTTCATGCAGTATTTCTTGTTATTGATATTTTAATATGTACAATTATTGATAAAAAAGAGAGTTAAAAATTGTGTTGAAAATTTTGTAATCGTTACTGCTAATGATTTACAAAACAAATCAACAGCAAAAAAAACCCAACATAATTAAACATGTTAAATATCAACACATGGTCAACAATAAAGATAAGGATCTATGTCATATGGAAAAAAAAATCCAGCGAGGTGTCAATTCAAAATGTAGTCAGAATCTAAATAAGTATCCGGTTTTTGCTTGTGATTTCGATATGCGCATGATAAAGGAAAATATCACAGAAGGAATAGAGTTATTGTTTTCAATGTATTTAAATCTACGTTCATCTTTTATGAGAAAGGTATTTTCGGAGGAACGTTTTTTGACACGACATATCATTCTTTTTTTTTTTTTTTTTGCAAAAGCGTTATGAGGGCAATAACATTCTACTTATTAGTTACTTTTTATCAATGTACAAAACAGTTTCCCAAAACGAGGTTTGAGGAGTTTTGGGATGGAAAATAAAATAAAAATTATTTTTGAATAATCCCCGCCTTCAAATTAAAAGAGAAGCATTTATTCTTTGTCCACCTACAATTGCCATTATTCCGTGGCGTACTGTACATTTTTTAAGTGTTTTTTTCATATCTGTTTTAAAAAATATTTACATTTATTTATGTGCATAGTAACATACTATCTAGAAGATGATCGAATCGATTTTAATGTTACAAAGACGTTTCTTGATTTCTTTGTTTTTCAATTGAACTGGTCTGGCCTTTAGGTTAAACAGGTTGGTTTGCATTCTTGGGTTGTATCTCATTACTTTTATTTGTTTGTCCATCACCTTGATATCCGAAAGACAGTCGGACTGTTGGAGAAACCGTTGCTACTTGGCGCTTTTCTTCTTTGTTTCCACTATCATTTTCAAATGATTTGTTGATGTAAGCACCGACCTGGCTTTTTTGTTCTGAGAATTGATCATCATGGTCTCTTTCTTCATTTCTGTATGAGAATAAAAAAAAACAATGTATTAGTTAGGGTATTAGTTATATCATTTGTTGAATTTACACAACACAGGTAATTACTTCGAAACTGTTATTTTCAAACGCATTCAATAGTTAATGTATCGACTGACAACTAAGCATCGATTTGACACTCCTGGCAATCGACTTAATTTTTGACACTTGTACAGAACCTTCTACAGAACCCGAGGTTTTGCAATTGCTATTTTACTTTGTTATCGAGGTGATTTTTAAGGTTTAATTTTCGTGATATTTATTAATCCTTCTATTTTTATTTACCAATCATGTTTTGTTATCAATTTCAATTTCACTTGAGATTTGGTACAAGCCAAGTCTCCGTGTTGAAGACCGTACTCTGACCTATTATAGTTTACTTTTACAAATTGTGCCTTGGATGGAGAGCTGTCTCATTGGCACTCATACCACATCTTCTTATATCTATTAATATTTAGCTAATATACAATGGGGTTTAACGACCTTGTTTTCGATTTATAATGCCATCTTTTTCTCAGTTCTGTAGTTATTTAAAGTGCTATATCTTATAAAAAGTCAGAAAAACAAAATCATTGTTTGTTTTGTTAACCTTATTGTTTGTAGAAATAAAACAATTGATATTACCATCTTTCAAAGGGGCAAGTGTATACGATACTGTAAACGTTTTCTCGCTTTTTTATTGTAAAATATCTATGAAAATACAGTATTGTGAAACGTTGACCAATGTATTCTCTTTGAGAATTCAATAAAATCTTCACTGTCTTTTATCAAACAAAATAGGGGAAACCTAGAATTACTGTACTTGAAAAGGAGATATTCAACAAATGCATTCACACCGGAAATACACTGCGCCAATTCTGAAAGCAGCTTCAAAAGGAGTCAGATTAAGTGTGCGATTTCTTCATTGTGATGGACGAATTCATTTCCCGTTATTTGTATGTTTGTTGTTACTTTGTTTGCTTTCAACTACAATACATCATGATACATGAATAGTATCATACACATTATATATATAGTTGTCAGCACAGCCATGCAATCTAAAATTGACGGGGCGAAAGCAATGCTATCTACGCATATCTCGATGGAATTTCGATTTAGTCATGTTAGTGAACATGGCTGTTGATATCTTGAACGGAACAAAAGCTTGTTCATCCTTTTTTTTTAAAGGAAGATGTTTTTATATATGAGAAAGTAAAAGACTATTCGTGTATGTTTATTAACTATATAGATAGTGTAAGGATTGGTAGTATGTACTCAGGCTTTGTATAATACTTGATTACTTGAATGTATCAAAGGAAAATAGTTCAGTACAATTTATGATTGAAAGACTAGACATAGTTTTGATTTAGAATGTCCTTTCTTCTTAGGTTGACAAAAACTACTTAAAATTAACCGATACCTAACTCAATTTCTGTTTTGGGTCATCTCTTGCCGTTAATAAATTGATTACATGTATAGAAATTCGCCGTTAGGTTGATAAATGTTCATCTTGATGAATTGACGAATTTCAATTTTATTGTCAAATCGTTTGGTGTTCAATAGGTTTACAATATGTTGACAGCATATAAAAACTTTTGACGATTCATAATAAGAAAATGACTTAATTTTGTGAAAGAATATTCAACATATCTAAAAAAAAAAATACAAACATTCAATTTTGAACTGCGATATTTTGCTACTTTGTTCAAACATATTTTATTGTCTAAAAGGACAAATGGATTAGACAAGTTTTACATCATTTTGCTACCTGAAAGAAAAGGAAAATGGCATGTTTGCACAAATGAACACACGTCATGAAATGGTAAGAAATGTAAATGCCACTTTATGAAATTAATTTATAAACATGCCTCCGATACGCTTTTAATTTCTGAATTTATTTTCATGAAAATTGCTTTTCCTCATATTGATAAATTGTCGAATTTCAATTCCAGTTTTCAGATTGTTTCGCCGTTCAATAGTTTTGCAATAGTGTCAGTTCAAAATAAAACTTTTGACAATTCATTATTATTCAATGACGTCATTTTGTGAAAGACTTTTTTCGAAATATAAAAACGACTTTAGATTTTGAACTGCAATATCTTGATACGTTAAAGTCAAAGGAATATGTAAGGGTTGCACAAACGAACAAACGAAGTGAAATAATAGGAAATGAAAATCCCAGTTAATCAATATGGTGCTCTCGATACACTTTTAATTTCTGGATTTATTTTCATTAGAACTGCTATTCTCATTTTGATAAATGTTGGACCGTCCATGGAGATGCCCTTATACGCTTAAAAAAACCCGCCGTGCAATATTATTATGATAATGAAAATGTAAATAACTACGTCTAAAAGGAAAACCTAAGACGAAAAAAAAATCGTTAAAGTTTTATATGTTTGATAGTATCTTTTAACATGGAGGCCAGAGATTATTATCGTTTATCAGTCAGGGGCATTACTTAAACAAGTAATTATTTTTAGTTACTTATATAGGTAATTTTTGTTTTTAAAAATTAAAAAATTACTCAATGGAGTTATTTTAAATTTCAGTAGAAGCATGGACTAAATGTAGTTTTCATGAATTTTTACATCATTTTATATCATAAAATAAAGAATTTATTAGATTTTAGAGGAGTATAGAGATAAAGGGTTACTTTTAAAATCATGAAAAAAATATTACTTGAATAAGTTATTCTATACATCTTTGAAAGAATTAGTTATAACACTTATTTAAGGAACATATCTAATTGTTTTGGGTTACAAATTATAAATAACTTTCAGTCTTAATGAAATCACAAGTTTCTATCTACTTATATATGTCTACCTTCAAGATTTCTGAGGAAAATGATATTTTAATAGTCCCAAGAGACCAATCTTTGACCCAAAATATGAAAGATAAGTGCATCAGAAAGGCAATTACTGTTTCAGAAAGGTTAGATTTTATATTTCATGGGAAAAATAACCAGATGACCGTGAAAATTTGTTAAAGCTAGTAAAATCTGTAAAGTTGGACACCTATAATACAAATATTTAAAAAAGTTACTTATATAAGTAATATTTAAAACAGCCTCGTTTTCAACAAAAAAAGTTACTTATATAAGTAATATTTAAAACAGCCTCGTTTTCAACATTACTTGTATAGGTAATTTTAGATGTTACTTATTTAAGTAATGCCCCTGACTGTTTATGCACATCCTGGTGTGGTGTTCTACAACTTTGCAAAATTGTATCTATATCCATTTAGAAGTTATGAAGGAGTTGCGATTACCAAAACATATTACCTTTAATTGCAATTTTGTAGCAAATTCTATATTCCCGTTAAGAGTTTGAAATTTGAATTATATTATCATTCCTTAATCATGTTTATGCACATCTTCAAGTAGGATTCCTGAACTGTGTACAGTCATATAATTGAGCTGCCTAATGAGTTGTGCAAACGTGAGACACTTACAATATAATGCAGTATCAAAACGAGAATATTAAAACTGTGGGTTTATATTCCTGTATACACATCTCTAAAAGTGTAACATCTTCCTCTCTCTCTTGATGTTTGGAAGGAGTTATGCTAACAAAGCAAAGACAAAAAGCTTAGTGCCCTCGCTATAAATTCGTTTCTAGTTTTTGATCATGTTGATGTTACACATACTGTATACTCCAATTATGAAATGATACATGATTGAAACTTATATCTCTTTAATATTTTTTATAAAAGGCAGTTTTTGTTTCCTTTTTTTATTATTTAGTACTCACTTAGTTTCTTTTTTAGTTTTTTTCTTCTTCAAATTGACATTCATGTAAAGACGTTTATTCAAAAATATCACACATATTAGATATTACTGTTTTGACTAAATAAACGGTATGACTTAAAATATAATTCATGTTTTCTTAGAGCACATTCACCTTTTACTTGTAACTTACTTGAGATTATTCGTTGAATTGTAATTTTCGACAGTAATGTTTTCCTTGTGACGCCTGTCGCCAGATGTATCATACAGCCCTTCCTTTGATTCCTCATACAAATCTTCTTCCTCTTGATCAGCAGGAGGTTTGTTTTCTATAGTTACCGTATTGTTAGGTTTGTTTACACAAGCATACACAGCAGCTTGAGGTGGTGTTGTTCTGTCAAAAAATACCAAAGAAGTTAAACTAAAATCGTTACAGACCAACTAACAGGCACAGGTTACTTAGTTGTTTCTTGACAGCAAGGTTGTAACTTCGGGGTAGTAATTTTTTTCAAAGAACAATCTTCATTCTTATGCACACCACTTATGCTATACTTCTGGCTGAATTTTCCTTTGTCCTTATTATACTGTTGTCATACAAAGGTTTCTCAAAAAGATTTAAATCATCTAGCATTATCATTTAACTTCACATTCGCTATATTGACAAACATTTCAAGGCATGCGTTTTTGCTATAAATTTTTCATTGACAGCGGAGATTAGTTATAATACAGTGGGACGTTAAAATGAAATCGAAGATATTTTATGATTGTCAATGAGACATCTAACATAGAACATGAACAATGTTAAGGATAACAGTTAGATTTGTTTCATATCTATCTATACACATAAACATGAATGGGGTCGGTTGATTGGAAACTAAACTGTACAATATCTTTGATATAAGAGATAATTGTTTGAAATATTTCTAGATTGATGACTATATCAAACAAAATTTTGCCAGATAGCACAATTATAACCCTTTGATTTTCGTTGTCTGCAAATAGAGTACCTTTTGTGGACATTACGTGTATAACGTGGTCATTTTTGTCATATACGATCCGAATTTATTTCTTCGTTTTGAATTAATTGGCTGTCAAAAGTTAGTCATTCAAAAAAACATATCAAAGAAAACGGTGAATTTGAAAGTTGACGAATTTTGGTTAAGGGTCAATTTTAAGGGGTGAGAGGATGTATTCCCTAGTCAAAACATTTCAAGGCAAGCGTTTATTTTTTTGTCATTATATTTTCCTAGACAGCGCAGTATGGTTATAACATAGTGGGAAACAAAGATTTTTTTTATGATTGTCAATTAGACATTTAACATAGCGCATGAATCGGGATGTTATCAACTCCGATTCATCGGACGGCATCAACTACGAGCAAAATCAATACAATATGGTAAGCTATAGTAAAATAATAAAAATACCGAACTCCAAGGAAAATTCAAATCGGAAAGTCCCTTATCAAGTGGCAAAATCAAAAGCTCAAACACATCAAACGAATGGAAAACAACTGTCATATTCCTGACTTGGTACAGGCATTTCCTTATGTAGAAAATGGTGGATTAGACCTGGTTTTATAGCTAGCTAAACATCTGTCTATACAATTCGTATATACGAAAATATGGAACTAATTCAACGGAACAACTAATGGCCAGAACTAAGTAAATAAAATTGAACGAAAAACAATTATAACAGACAGCAATCTAAAAAATGTATTTGAATACAAGCGCTTATCGACATGACATGAGCAAAATTACAAGTCGAATGTCAAGAATGAAGCTAGTAACGTATCCTTCCGTTGTATAAGAACTAGTGATGTGAGGTTTGGGTTTCTAAATCTTAATTTTCCATTATAGTGTTTAAACTGTTGGTCTTTTATGTTTGTTTTCTTCCTATCCCAACAAAATCTACTTCTATGTAATCTTATTTGTTCTCGACTCGTCTTAACGTGAGTAAATTTAAATAAACAAGTTTTTTGATATTTTTGTTCAAAAATCTGAACTTTCTTGTGTATCAAATATACAAGGCTTATGAAATCTCTTTAAAACTGTTCTTATTAACTTTTTCTAGAATGTTTTTATGATAGGCTTTATACCAAATGTATAACAAAAGAGAAATTTTTGTTTTTGTTAATTTCTAGTCCTTTCCTTTTTTATGAATAAATACTGGCACTTATTCTTATTGCTGACAAATTTTTAAGTAATCATAGACTTGTAAAGATCATAATTTGTGTATAACAACCTATCCTGAGGTACCAATCGAACAGAATGTTAATGCCGGTAAATAATATTCAATAAAAAGAAAAACTATTGGCAACATATACATGATATATCGATTTTTGACACACATTTTTCAATTTACAAAGTAAATCGACTCCCTTTTATGTCAAACAATCCATTCTGTGATATCAAAGGAACTCAATTATAATGCTACGTTGTCGTTTTCATAAAAACAAGAAGTATTGGCATTGCTGTCTACAAAGGTTTAAATAACTAAAGATTGATATAGCTCATAATTCATGTAAACAAATTCATCCTGAGGTATCAAGGATCAAAATTGTAATGCTAGTACAATATTTTAACGAAAAAGATAAGTATTGGCATTTCAATTATTGATAATAAAAAATTAAGATGACAATTAAATTTTATAGCTGAGAATTTATCTTAAGGTACCAAAAGAACTCAAATTTAATGCGGACATATATTATTCAAGAAAGAGAAAAAATACTGACACCTTAAATAGATGCCGTCAACAAGTTTTGCTGTTTCAAACATAAATTACTTCCCTTCTATGTAAAACAATCTATCCTGAGGTATAAAAAATACTCAATTATAATACCACGAAATAAATTGCACGAAAAAGAAGAAATATTGGCATTTTTTACTGCTGTATACAAAAGTTAAAATGCCGTTGACTCATGGAACAATCCATCCCGAAGTACCAAAAAGAACAATATAATGTTGGTACATGATTTTAGGTAAAGGATAAACATTGACATTTTTAATAACTGCCAACAAGGTAAATGTATCCATAGACATGGTTGACTTATCTCATTTAGTACTGAGAGTAAACGTGTGTTTATTTTTAATCACAAAAAAAGGATTGCGATGTTTTCACTCAAACGCAACAGTAAACGTGAGGGTAAACGCGCGTTTACTTTTTGTGTCTACAAACATGTTCAATTTAACACAAGGTCAACGTAGTGCTTACATAAAGGGCATATGAGTTTACGCCGCTTTGACTTTTTCCCGGTTGTTTTCTTGCTATGCTTGGATTGCACCCAAATATATAAATGTTTAGGTTGATTTGATAGACATTTTTTTTCAGCAGTTACATGAATATACCTTTTTTCGATGTAAAGACTTCTAGTAGTCCTTTCAGAATAAGGACCTGTCAATTTCAGTTCAAATTGGCTCAATGGATTCAGATGCGAATGTTTTGTACTGGTTTACATAAGACAACAGACGGACAATGCTTAAATGATGGCAATATCTCTCACTGGTTCAAACGCTTGTATGCTCTTAATAATAGTTCATTACAGATTCCACAGAAATATCATTTGTGAGGCATATACATTGTAGGTAAAGAAAATTCATTTCCGTATGATTTAGGCTGTCATAATATATTTTCGATATTTGTGTATTTGCTGTTTCTTTACAGCTTAAATCATCAATAAAAAATAAATTGCAATTGTGTACGTTTTTTTTTTATTTTGGGATTACACATTGTAAAGTTTTAGTGCACTATGTGCATGTATGAAAAACTTGCATGCAGAAGTTACTTTCATCGACAGTCGTGTGTTGCAAAGTCTTTTTTGTCAATGTCAATTATATCGTGTGTGTTTTCCTCTTCATTATTCAAATTATATTTCTGGTACAAAATTACTTTGCAATAGTGATGGATTTTAAATTTTAATATAAAAATAAAGATATGTGTAATGATTGCCAAAGAGTCAACTATCCACACGAGTAGTAAACCAAGCTTTTTGTATACATACGGATTATCTTTCTCTGTTTCCTCGTCTTCCTTCTGTTTCTTCATGTATTCTTCATTATGTTGTTTAACTTTTTCAATCGTTTCCTCGTTACTCAATGGTTTAAATTTCATATCTGTATCATCCAAATCAACGTCTTCATATCCAGTTGTCTTTTTTGTTGAAATAGTCGGTGGTACTCCCCTTGTTGTTTTCTGAGATTCAATTTGATCCATATTTGACTCCATTTTGTCTACAGGTTTGTAATCTTCTTTTCTAAAAGACAAACATATATACTTTCAATATAATAATATTCAGTGGTTACAGCAATAGTTGTGACTTGTGGTCGTAATTACCACATAAATCTGCTAAAAAAGATATATATATATATAATAACTCTCATATTCATGATACTAGTAGTCTTAATTTCATCAAATATTTCAAAGGTCTATCCGTCTGAACCAAACTCAAACATGAACAGTTATTCCTCACTTCTAAAGCACTTACCAAATAGCTGCACAATATTTTGCAAATAACCTGGTCAAAATTACTTCGACGGGATCGGTATTCACAATTAATCTTCGTAAAAAGGCATGCAAAATCTCAATTCAATCAAAATTTGTTAAAGCGTTTACAGGAAAACGCAAACTCTTTTTTGGTCTTCAAAATTTAAAACGATCAATAGACCAAAACCATGTCAAATTTACAAAAGTGTTTTTTATCTGTACCACTCATTGCATAATAATATCTCAAATATTTACTCAAGTCTCCAAAATACATTTCATCAAAATTTTGAGTCAGAATTCAAGCCAACATTTTGGCCTCTAATAGTGAAAATTATTCAATCCTTTTCAAAAGTATGCTAGTTTTATAAATAATGGAAAGAATGGCGACATTTATTTAACATTCAATGCATTAAATTTGACAATGACAGTTGTCTTTTGATTATATATGACGTAATTAACGTATTTGACCTAAAATAGCATTTAAAACATAGTTTGTGTGTCAAAATTAGACATCAACAACATTTTACCCTAAGACCTGATTACGGCGACAGTAGTTTACTGATGTTCAAATCTCGTAAATTGATTTGGAAGAGATGAATCAAGGTAGCAAGCAAAAGCTTAAGGAATCGCATCATCTCCTAAAGGAGTGATAACGGGTGCTTCGATAGGGTAATCGTCTCCTGCTATGCATGTATCACCTGCTATGCGAATTCCCAGTCAGTAAAAACGAAGCAATAGAGTAGAGAACACTATCAGTAAAATTAAAGATCATACAACTGTATTGATCTTAAGATGTAAGACTGCGAACTCATGTCGCTAGTGAGTTGATATACCAACACATCATATCGGTCAACCAAACCAATTTGTGATGGTACATGTAACCGTAAAACTCATGTAGTGTATATTTCAGATGTTTTCTCTTATTACTCCTCTGTGGGAACAGTTTTTTTTTAGTCAAAACACTTACCTGATAATGAAGTCCATATAGAGTAAGCATGCAAGAGTCTAAAAGATGATAAAAGAAAACATTTTGAAGCAACAAATATGATTGTGAAAGCAGATGCATATATCTGAATATGAACCACATGGCTACAATTAGGCTATATAGCATTTTTGTAGTTTTTTTATGTTTTCCTTGAATGAAAAATAATGAAATGAAAGCAAATACGCAAAACAAATTTTAGATATTTAAATATATAAATCTGATATCTCAATTGAAGATTGAAATGTGTCATTTAGTTAATTTGAAATATTTTTGGTTTTTCAAAAGACTAGCCTTACATGTATAATGTATTCTATTTTGCAAGCTGTCAGGCGGAGCAAACACTTTCACTATTAAATTTTCGTCGGTTAAAGACATAAGCAATACTATTTCCTATAACATTGGTATGCAACTGAAAAAAATTGTTAAATGTCACAAGCGTTCAAAAAGATTTGAAAATATCACACATATAGCCAATGTTCAAAGCTTGTTGGGTTACGGCTAAAACTATCCATACCTTGATTGTAGGACTTCCACAGATTTCTATATAGACAATATGCATATGTATATTTACTGGTAACATTTCCAAGTTATGTCTCTATGAGATGAAACCTAGAGATCATAACTGGGAACCAGTATGTAAACAAAATTAATTATCTATGAATATTCTATATCTCCTCAAAAGAGGTGTGATTTGAGAAACAGCTGTATTTACAAAGTGCAACCTATATAAGCAGTTGAAAGATTGAAGATCAAAAAGGTGTAACAGTTTGGTGTGAAGTAGAATATTGTCAATCGACAAATAACTGTTCGTGAACACATCTCAGGGGCATGACTTACCTGAACCTGTCGTCTAATTTATTTGTTGGCATAATGACCTCCATGTTTTCATTACTATTTACTATTAAGTAATAAAGTTTGTGTTTAACACATCTTTAATTTAAATCAATACATGTAAGGACCTTGTTCGCGACGTATTATTTTTGGTGCTTTCTTCTTGCTCGCGAAATTATCAAAAAATGATCGCGTGTGCAAATAAGTTGGTTTACACCATTAACCGTTAAAAAAGACTTGTTAAATCAAATTTGTTAAGATATGACCCACAGAGATTAAGGGTCATTACAGACAGATGACAAACGGCCAACACCGACAAATTTAGTCATCTGTGTGGGTTTGAGCGTACCTGGTGAAGGCAAATCAATAAAAGCGCTTTGGACGAACGAAATTAATAGTGTTGTATTCCTGATCCTTTAAGCGTTCTCATTAATTAAAGACGAATACCAAACGAGAGAACAAAGTCATTTGACGGTTTTTAATGTTTAAAGACGGATGATAGACAGTTCAGAGAGTTCAACGGCCTCCTCCCGTTAGGAAACCTTGCAATAACTCGTTTGAGGGTTATGTTGGTGGCCTGTTGCCAGGCCAAATTTGTGTCCCTATCCAATATACCCTTATTTTACAATGGCATTTTTAATTTCCAACCCTTCTTCTTGGTTGACCCAATATTTCAGAACCTACCTACTATATTAAACATGTATGAAGTAGTTGTCAATTAACGTTAAGCAAATAACAAACAACGATAAAATCAATTCGTCTATTCATGACCAAAGAAGTATCGAGTAAACGCTAATGAGACTGAAACCCAACAACACAAACATCTTATATATATAAAATTGAGAATGGAAACGGGAAATGCGTTCAAGAGACAACAACTCGACCAAAGAGCAGGGGGTTGGGGGGTTGGTGGAGGTAGATTCCACGGTCTACCAGTCAGAAACTTATGTAAACCACCATTTTGAATATCGGAATTATCTTATATAGCACATGTGCATTCTTAAAAAAAAACGAAATAGTCACATTTTTGTTTGAGCTTAAAAATTTCGTTTTTGTCAAAAACAAATTTCATTTAGAAGCGTACTCAATATTTAAAAACGTCTTGTCTTTACGTTTGACCACGTAAGTGTACATATGAAGTCACACTGTTAAGGTGACCATTGTTGGTAATGATTTTAACGGTACCCATTTTCTGCACCAGATGCGCATTTGGCAATAAATGTCTCTTCAGTGATGTCTGAGGCCAAAATATTTGTAAATCAAAAAAAATCTAAGGAGCTCATAAACCAAAAAAAAAAAGAAAATGTATAGCCAAAGATAACATGTCTTTTGAAAGAATGTAATACAATCTTCCAAGACTTCTTTAAAAGTAGTACTCTAACTTTGATCATCCCCCCTCCCCTAAAAAAAAAGATAAAAAAAAAAAGACTTGCAGACCGAACATTCTTTTCTCTTTTAATATACAGTTTCTTCTGTCAAATCTCTGAACTGCTTGTTTTAAAAATTACTTCCTTTGTTATTTTAGAATTATTGTGTCCAATGAATTTGGGACGAACATCAGTGCTTATTTATAGTTTAAAGCAAGGTTCATATAGCTTGTACATGTATAAGCGTATATAACTGCATGATTAAAAATCAATATTTACTTTCTATGAACTTGCTTTCAATACCTTTAATAAGTTTGTTTAGTGCATTGTGTTCCTTTTCACTATAATTGTGTTATCAAAGAGTTGAATAATTTTCTTATACTGCTTTTTATTGTGACTATTTCTATGTACTTATGTTTCACCTTATAAGTATATTTAGGAGAAAACCTAGGTTATGTCAGCCATATGCATGATATGATTAATTCAGGAACCAAAGACGATGGTTGTATTTTGTCGTGTTTTAATGTAAGCTGTGCGAAAGACAATGAAATACTGGGCTTTCAGCTGTCCGTCCGTCCAGCGTATTAGCGATCTCATTCCAGATTTTTATAACTTTTATATCAAAGGTAGATGTCCACAATTTACTGCTGAGCAACGTTTTACGAGTTGTTATGTCCCTTGGAAATGTCAAGTATATTGAATATTGGAATGTAAGTGCTATCAAGCCAACATTTTCGTATGAATTTTTAAAACTGATGTTAAAATTTTACGTCAGAAATGTTTCGGACGAGATCGAAAATCATGCAGTGTTTATCTTTTTTTTTTTTATAAGAAAAATGTTCAATTGGAAAGATATTTTCTATGAAAAAGTGTATTGCCTGGGCTTCCCAGCTTAATTTGTCGTCTGATTAGCATGAAATTGATATCAAACCATTTCAAATAGACGAATTAAACAAATCAGTGCTGATCAAATATTTTTAAAGAAGTAAGGTCCCTTAGAAACTTTGAAAAATTGCATTATAAGCGCTCTAAAGACTACATTATTTGTACGATTTTTATAAAATTTCTATCACAGGTTCGTATCATCTATGTTTTTGACAATTCGAAAATAACCACTGATCAATTACTTGTACAGGTATTATCCCTCTCGGAAAACCAAATTCTATATAAAATCGCAATGCAACCGCTATCACGCATATATTTCTTGTAGGAAATTGAACAAGCATAAAACAAATCGTTTTCGAGTTATTGCTCTTTGACAGATATATAACATGAATGTGCATGGGTGGGAATCATTGGAACGCTGTTTTTTTTAAGAGAGTTGCATGTTAATGTGTTTTTTTTATACGTTTTTTGTTTTAAATGTATTAAACTTATACAGACTCGGGACGATTTAGAGTTTGTAATAACACCTATGTTTTGCTAAAAACATATGTTCCCTACTGGAATACTCTTGGTTTGCTTTATCTTTTGCGTTGACCCCAAGACGCGTTGTTTTAAATGTATTAAACTTATACAGACTCGGGACGATTTAGAGTTTGTAATAACACCTATGTTTTGCTAAAAACATATGTTCCCTACTGGAATACTCTTGGTTTGCTTTATCTTTTGCGTTGACCCCAAGACTTGTATTTATTCACAAGTACCCTGAATCACCGTTTCAATAACAACATATAATATACAAAAAAACGTTTTTCATGCGAATGAAACAAACGCTATTTTTGAATAATCTTCTTTGAAACCTTTAAAGACGTTTAATGATAAAACCAAAAATACAAAAAATGTTGAAATGATAATAACCAAACGGCAGAGTAAAATCTTTTTTATGTCAACTTTGAGTGATTGAGGTGCATCTTAAGTAGTAAAACAATTTCATGTACATGACATATAATAAGTTGAAATTAACCTATACATGCTATATGACATTTCCATTATGCCATTGATGAAATGAATAATGAGGTAGTTGAACAGATGCAAATGTAAGGATTGGTAGTACTGACCGGATTAAATCTAAAGAAAATGTACAGCTACATTATCTGTGTATACCGGTTGTTCAGTACATATTCAATAGTAGGGAGAAATGTATTAGCAGACTCCGTTTAAAATTCCTGGTGTTTATCTTCACCAATGACAATCATTTTATGAAGCTTTGTGTTAACTTGACTTTCTTTTTTGTTGATGCAGAAGGTAGACCTTAGATAAGGAACAAAACTCTAAAAACAGTCACTGGAACGTCTGAGCAATCCTTTTCCAATATATATTACACAGTTTTTTTCTGTTTCACAATCGCATTAAAAAGCATTGATTATTAAAACCATTTAAAGGGCCAGCTTTATTTGCCTATGTGTAAACCAGATGTCTCCTTAATGGACAACAACATGTTAATTAAATGCATTTTTAAAGGTGTTGTCATCACTAATCCTTGATTGCTGCATCTAAAGCTGTACATTTTTCTTCGATGAACAAATGACATATTACAGTTGATAAAATATAATTTTGGGTTATTGTGGTCTTAGTTGATTTCACTGCTGTTTTATTTGGAAATGTATAATTTTTGTACTTACTGTCTCTTTCTATATAGTACACCCACGAGTCCAATTACAATAAGAACAGCAATAATTGCAATAATTGCAATTACAACAGCAATCCAGGTATCTAAACATTTATTTACAATTATAAATGACGTAGACCAGTGTAAACAGGCATGTTCATATCATTTATAACTCAATACATACATACAGATTGTGTACCAAGAATACATGTAATAGTACCACAAAAAAAATACACCGAACAAAACTATGTTAAAAGAAGGAAATGGTGAAAAAATACATCTTGAAGAAGCAACAAGTTGATGGATTGAAAACCCTCTTCTGACTTCTTTTCAATGAAAATATAACTTTGATAATGTTATGCTTCTGAAGCGCTGTTATGGATTTACATTCATTAGACACGCTCATAGACTAAGAATTGAAAACCAGGGATTTATAAGAGTCGAAACACTTGATGAGCTATATGACCACAAAAGACATAAAGTTAATTGTCAAATCCATCTAATGTCAACTATGCCTGAGATATTTTTGATTTTGATTTATTAGATTATTAATATAATTAAGACAAATCAGTTTGAAAGGGTTTGATCGACATGAAGCACGAACATCAACTATCAAATAGCGGATTTTTCAATACATTTCTTTTGCTTAAACTGTGTATTGAAAAACACATCAGCGGATAATATAAGCAAATCATAAATTATAAATATCATGTTCTCGCTTTCGGTCTGTTTGTTTATTGGAATTGTTATAATGTACATCCAGTTTATTGGCATTTTATAAAGTGTAATCTCCTTCCTAGTTATCTAACATATACATTATATAGTGATGAGCCCCATGGTTTTTTGAAATGATTATATTTGGTTTTTACGCGATGTTCGAGTTGTTTATGACAGTATTGTTAGATTTCTTTGCCAGAATAATTCATGTTTTGCTCGTTTTGACCGACTGTGGTGTTCCTCAATACACAGCACAAGTTTGAGCGACAACAAGCAAATAAATACTCTCAAACTGGAGCTAGAGGCTATTATGAACAGATTATCCCACAGACCAAATTGCATTGTACGCTGTTTTTCCTTGAATGGAACTTTAACTCATGGTTATATATTTCCGGCAATATGCAGAAAGAGATTT